CCCGCTTCTCACGGGACCCAGGCTGCTTGGCGCTGGTGCCCGTAGGCCACTCCTGGCCAGGGCATTCTGGGATCCTGGCTGCTCAGGGCCTACGCGTGGGCCTACAGGCTTGGAGTGGCCTGGGTCCCAAGGATGTTCCCAGAACCCAGGCTGCTCGGTGCCTGCATATGCAAATTAACCCACCATCTTTGTTGAGTTAATTTGCATACTTCTGATTGGCTGGTGAGCGTAGTGGAGGGATGGTCAATTTGCATCTTTCTCTTTTATTATATAGGATTACCCTCTTTGTATCTGTAATATTAGGGTATTTTTTAATTTTTGTTTTGAATTATTATAAATACTATCCCTTTGTTCCATCTCTTATTTCCTTGGCTTACTTCTGAGAAGTGGAACTGCTGGATCCAAGGGGCTGAGCATTTTTAAGGCCCTTGATAACATCTTGCTAAATTGCTCTCCACCTCCTGAAAGCTAACTTGCTCACTTTATACATAAGGTGAGATATAAAGCTCAGAGATAAGGACCCCAGGTTATCCATTTACATTGGTGGAAGCTATCACTGGATCCCAAGCCTCTTCCACAGTTAATGTTGGAAAAAACATTTATAATTTTTCTGCTACTCTCAAGTAGCTTGACTCAGTGGCTTTCTCATTGGACTGTTGAAAGAAGCAACAGGGGAACTTGGCTGTGCTAGCATCAGTTGCCTTGCAAATGGGTTGCTGATCTGGAGGGTAGAAAGGAGTATGCAGTGGGACTTTGAAAAACCTGTGAAAACAGACTTGACTGTGGCTTTGCTTCGTGCTGTTGAAAGTCACAGGTCAATGATGCTTCGCTCCTGAGTAGTGTGCTAGCATTTAGAGATGGAACACAGCAGCTACTGCCCTAATGGCATATCGCAGCAAGGGTAAGTCAGCTGACAGTTTAATACAGGCACTGAGTGGTTATTGTCTTTGAACTGGCTCTTTGCTAACATTATTTAGCTTTACTGCTAGGGCAGCTTATTTGTTGATGATACACCATTTCTGGAAAAAGCCCATGAATACTCATAACCCAGTTTCTGGAATTATCAATATTTTGCCATTTTTGTTTCATCTCTGTCCTCCATGTCTGTGTGTGTGTGTGTGTGTGTGTGTGTGTGTGTTTTAATGTGTTATACACATATCAATTTAGTCATACATTCTGTATTTTTGTGCTAGAAGAGGGCCCAGTTCATAGTCTGGAAATTTCTTTTTTTCTCCCTCTTCCAGTTTTTCATTCTCCTTCATGGTATCTCTTATGCCTGAAAACTAATCATCTCCTTTTTCTTTACTCCTTATAGCATCACATTAGTCACTAATCTCCTTTGTTTTTTTCTTTTAAATCTCGTTTAGGCTGTCCATTTCTACCATAGTCCAGTCCTTTCTAGCCTTATGCCTTGTAGAGAGTAAATACTGGTGACTGGTCATGTAACTGAGCAACCTGAGAAGTCTTGTACTAGTCTCCTGTCACTTTCTCTCCTTCCCAACAGTTTATGTAAATGGAATTCAGGTTAATTTTCCTAAACTAGTACTTGAGGCACTTGTATGCTTGATGCAGTGATGAGGTTGCATTAGCACCAAGCCAGTTTCCCAAACTTTGCTACAGCTAGGAACCACCTGGGAGCATTTACAACTCATCCTATCCAGGGGGAACCCCGTACCGATTTGACCAGAATGCTGGGGGTGGGGGCGGGGGAGAGGCAGGAGTTGGTGGCGATCTTTTGTTTTTTAAAGATTCCCCATTTATTCAATATGTAGCAGAGTTTCAGAACCACTGCTCTTTATGGCTAAAGTGAGAATGTGAGGATTGCGGGCGAGACCCCTGGGATTTTGCCCTTCAGCATTTCACTTAACCTCATCAACGCCTTGCTTTATTGTGAAAGTAATACCTATAGCTCTGAAATTCTCTCACAAATCTAATCTGACTAGGCTGATGTTCCAGGCTCTTCAGAAACTAGCTTCTCCTCTTTATCACTTTAAACTTTACCTTCCTACCCAGGGCTATCGTTCAGCTGAAGGGGCCGGACACATGTTGTTCCTTTCGTCTTCTGCTCCTGTGCCTTTTGCCACGTCTGAAAGGTGCCCCTGGCATCTGTCTGAATGAGAGGCTTGCTTTAACCTGGTGCCTCAGCCCAAGATGTAGCCTTTGGCCTCATGCTGTCAGGTCTGAGTGCCTTGATGACAGTAATTTCTCTGACTTTGGAATTCCAGAAACACCATTTATACCCCACATTTTGGTGGGAGATAATATTGTATCCTATTATTTATTGATTTTCATATGTATGTTCTGGAACCACAGAGCCAGAGCTAAGCTCCTCTTCAAAATTTTTTTCATTTTTGTTTTTTTAAGCCTTTATTGAATTTATTGGGGTGACATCTATAATAATAAAAGTGTAATATGCTAATTAGGCTAGACATCCTTCCGGACTTCCTTCCGGACTGCCTTCCAGACAAAGCAGGGCTGAGGCAAGCTGCAGTGGCTGCGAGGGCTGAGCCCCTTGCACAGATTTTGTGCATCGGGCCTCTAGTTGGTTAATAAAATTATATAGGTTTCAGGTGTACAATTCTATAATACATCATCGGTATAGGGCAGCGGTTCTCAACCTGTGGGGTTGCGACCCCTTTGGCAGTCGAACGACCCTTTCACAGGGGTTGCCTAAGACCATCCTGCATATCAGATATTTACATTATGATTCATTACATTATGTAGCAACATTACAGTTATGAAGTAGCAATGGAAATAATTTTATGGTTGGGTCACAACATGAGGAAGTGTATTTAAAGGGCTAGAAGGTTACGAACCACTGGTATAGGGTATTTATTCAGTGTTCACTATACAAAGTGGAGTCTCCTTCCATCACCATTGATTCCCTGTCTACCGCTCTTTTGCTTTCTCTCACAGCCCCTCCCTCTGGTAATCCAATGTGGCCTGTGTCTATGAGTGTTTCCCCGCCTTCCCTTAATCCTGTCACCTTTGTCACCCAGCTCTGAAACCTCCCTCTCTCCCCTCTGACAGCTGTTAGTCTGTTCTCTGTATCGATGAGTCTAGTCTGTTTCTGTTTTGTTTGTCAGTTTATTTTGCTCATTAGATTCCACATTTAAGTGAAATCATACAGTACTTGTCTGTCTCTGAATGGCTTATTTCATTTAGCATAATGTCCTCCTGGTCCATCTATGCCAGTGATGGCGAACCTATGACATGCGTGTCAGATGGTGAACTCATTTTTTTAGTTGATTTTTTTTTTGTTAAATGGCATTTAAATATATAAAATAAATATCAGAAATGTAAATCTTTGTTTTACTATGGTTGCAAATATCAAAAAATTTCTATATGTGACACGGCACCAGAGTTAAGTTAGGGCTTTTCAAAATGCTGACACACCGAGCTCAAAAGGTTCGCCATCACTGATCTATGCTGACACAAAAGGTAAGATTCCCTTCTTTTTTATGGCCAAGTAGTATTCTGTTGTGTAAATGTACCACTGTTTTTTTATCCACTCTTCTACTGCTGGACACTTGGGCAGGTTCCTAATCTTAGCTATGGTAAATAATGCTGCAATGAAAATAGGGGTGCTTATATTCTTTCTGATTGGTGTTTTGAGTGTCTTCAGATATATTCCCAAAAGTGGAATCACTGGTTCATAAGGCAGCTCCATTTTTAATTTTTTTTTTGAAGAAACTCCCTACTGTTTTCCACAGCACCTGCACCAATCTGCATTCCCACCAGCAGTCCATGAGGGTTCCTTTTCCTACACATCCTCACCAGCACTTACTACTTGTCTTGTGGATAGTAGCCAATCTAACATAACAATGTGTGAGGTAGTTTCTCACTGTAGTTTTGATTTGCATTTCCCTTATACTAAGTGAAGTTGAACATCTTTTCATATATCTGTTGGCCATTTGTATGCTTTCTTGGGAAAAGTGTCTGTTCAGACCCTCTGCCTATTTTTAAAATTAGATTATTTTTTGGTGTTGAGTTGTATGTACTCTTTAAAATATATTTTTGATATTAGCTCTATGTCAAAGCTGTTTTTTTCAAATGTCCTCTCTGATTTAGTTGGTTGCTTTTTTGGTTCATTGGTTTTTTTAGCTGTGCAGAACCTTTTTAATTTGATATAGTCCCATGCATTGATTTTTGCTTTTGATTTCCATGCCTTTGGGGTCAAATTCACAAAATCCTCTCTGAGACTAAGGTTCATAAGTTTAGTGCCGATGTTTTCTTCCATGTATTTTATTGTTCCAGGTCTTATATTTAGGTCTTTGATCCATTTTGGGTTAATTTTTGTGCATAGTGTCAACTAGCAGTGTAGTTCTAGTCTTTTGCATGTGGCTTTCTGGTTTTCCCAGCACCATTTACTGAAGAGGCTCTTTTCTCCATTGTATGGTTTTGACTCCCTTGTCAAAAAGTAGCTGCCCACATATATGTGGGTTCATTTCTGGGCTCTCAATTCTGTTCCATTTTTCTGTTTCTGTTTTTTTGATTATTGTAGCTTTGTAGTATAATATGAAGTCAGGGAATGTGATACCTCCACTAAGCTGTTGTTTTTATAGATGACTAGAGACCTGATGCACGAAATTCGTGCAAGAGTAGGCCTTCTTTTCCCCGGCTGCCGGCACCAGCTTTCCTCTGGACCTGGGCTTCCCTCCAGCCGCCAGCAGGCACCTGGGACCTAGGCTTCCCTCGCAGCCCCGGCCTCGTCTGGAAGGTTGTCCAGAAGGACGTCCAGTCTAATTAGCATATTACGCTTTTATTATTATAGATAGTGAGGAGGAGAAAAAGAGGAAATGTAGCAAAGTTGGGACCAGGACCCAATTTTCCTTTTGAGCCTCCCTCCTATTTTCTTATTGATGTGATGTCTTGAATCACCTCCTCTTTTTTGATATACATGAAAAAAATTCATCTATGTAGTATATAAATATATAATACATAAGTTTCTTTTAAAGTACCTTAAATGTTTTTCTCTTTTTATGACTTTGGTACAGGTTCTCCACATATGATTCTACTTGTCAAATTGCACAAGAGATTGCTGAGAAAATTCAACAAAGAAACCAGTATGAAAGAAATGGTGAAAGTACAACCAAGGTATGACCAGGAGGGAATTGCTAGTAGTACCGCAAATGATTTGTTTGAGCTTTGAGGTCTGAAAACCCCCCTGTTTCTGAGGGTTTGTGTGTGTGTATGTGTGCATGCATAATGGCCTACATGTTAGTTTGTTGCGTTGACATTACAACCAAACAGTTAATAGTTACTTAGTCACTGACACTAAATGAAGCATGACATCTCTTTAATTTCTCCTGTTTTATCTTAAAAGTTTTTAACCATTTTAGTCTAGTTCTAGGGTTGGTACACTTTCCCCCACAGATAGTAACTCTTTTAGGTTTTGCAGGACCAGAGGCAATGTCCTCATTTCTTTGAGTATTCATTCTTACCAAAAGAATAATAGTATTTTTTTACACGTTACATTTAAAAATGTAAAAATTGATTCTCTTTTTCTTTGTCTTATGCTATCCTTTGTTTCTGTTTATATTCTTTTTTAGGGTTTACTTTCCCCCCTTCACCTTGTTGATTTAATTTTAAATATGTAAAACATTTATATTGTTAAAAAGTCAAAATTGTACACAAAAGTACACTCAAAAATTTTGTTCCCATCTCAGTCTTCCACCCTTTTTTCACCTACTTCCTATACGTAAGTATTATCATTAATTTCTGATTTATTCTTCCTGTATTACTTTTTGCAGAAATAAGCATTTCTGTGTGCGTATTTTTCTCTTCCTTTTAAAGAAAATGCTCTTTTGTATCTTGCTCTTTTTATTTAATAATATATCGTAGAAATCTCTCTATTAATTCATTGGGGCTGTATAATATTCTAGTGTGTATTCTGGTGGGCATTTAGGTGGTCTCCAGTCTGTTGCTGTTATGAATAATGCTGCAATAAAGAGCTTTATGCTTTTTTTCTTTGTATTTTCAGAAGTGTCTTTTCAGGGTGAATTCTTAGAACCAAGTTATGTGTGATTTAAAAAAAAGTTTTTTTTCCATTGATTTTTTTTCCCCCCAGAGAGAATGGAAGGAAGCGGGAGAGAGAGTGAATAACAGTTTATCAGCTTTTTTTTAATGCATTTGAAATTAAGAAGAGAGTAAGGAAGGTTGGAGGAATCAAGGCAGGAATTGGATTATAGGATAGTTAACGAGATTATTTGCTCTCTTGAGGATAATACCCACTTCCAGGGGTATTCTGGTATATTTTTAAAAGATATGTTTTTATTGATTTTTAGAGAGAGAGAGAGAGAGAGAGAGAGAGGAAGAGAGAGGGATCGAGAGATAGAAACATCAATGAGAGAGAAACATTGATCAGCTGCCTCTTGCACATCTCCACTGGGGATGTGCCCACAACCAAGGTACATGCCCTTGACCGGAATCGAACCTTGGACCCTTCAGTCCGCAGGCCGATGCTCTATCCACTGAGCCAAACCGGTTTCGGCTTACTTATTGTATTTTAAAGGTGTGTTAACTTAGGTGCACAATAATAATGGGCAGAGCTGGCTTAAAACCTTTTACTAAAGAAATTACAGGTCTCAGGCTTGACTATCACCATGACCTGCCCAGTTAGGAATTTATGATCAGATCACCCTTTGAGGTTACTTTGCATAGAACACCCTTTTTTTCATCCACAATTCCTCCTTTTGGTCATAAATCAGTCCCAAGGATTCGCTGGTGATCAGCCTTTTGGTCGAGAATAGTACAGTCTCAGATCTAGGAAGTTTCAGTATCGACATCATCTTGTTGACCATTGGGGATGGGGCATTGCCGTTACCAAGGGATCTGAGTGGAGGCCTAATTTCTCCCCCAAAAGGAAGGGCAGGTAAATGGAAGGCAGTCAGGTCTTATGGCCTTCTCTGCAAAAAACACTCCGGATCAGTTCTGTCCTGTGAATTATCATGATCCAGGTTTTGCTGTCTGTCTCATTCTCTGTATTTGTCATCTTGTATAGCATTTACATAAGCAATAAAAGAGTATTAACAGTTATCTCATACATGTTCAATAGTCATAAACAAATTATATAGAAAAAAAGATCAAGTATAAATATTATTATGAGTAGTATTATTAGCAGACAGGTGAAGACAAACAATTGGCTTCTGAGTTCAATGTCAATATATAGGCCCTGTTGATGTGTTTGGATAGCCATCTACCTCTGTCTACCTATTAAGCTTTTCTTCTGTTTTTATTTTTTTAAACACATAAATCTTTATAATATTTGTGTTTTATTTTGGTGTGTTGTAGGGATCTGATTTCCCCCCACTTGATAAATTATTAATTACCTCCCCCCTGAACATCTATACTAATAAAAGGGTAATATGCTAATTAGACTGGACGTCTTCCGGACATCCTTCCAAACATCCTTCCACACAAAGCCACGTTTGTGGGGGCCGAGGCAGAGGCGGTTAGGGGCAACCAATCCGGCAGGGGAATGCAGTTAGGGGGGATCAGGCCAGCAGGCAGAGGTGGTTAGGGGCGATCAGGCAGGCAGGCAGGCAGAGGCGGTTAGGGGGAATCAGGCAGGCGGG